AACAGGGGGGGGGGGGGGGACGACAAACTTCATCAATAAGCGTACCTGATCTCAAACCAGGTGAAGTGGGGACCAAAGTGAGACCCAAACTTTACCTGTACGATGACCACTTGTGTACTTAACCCTGAATTGTACCCTGTATCTTTAAAATAAAAATTTCTTAAATAATAAATACATAAATAAATAAATGAATAAGACCTGGGATATAGTTGGTTTCTCTCAGTTTATCTTTGTCTTTGAGGTGTAGACTATCTGATGAAGTTGCTATAAACAGCGACTGGATTTTCTGCAAGTTAGTGTAGGGGCGGAGAGGAGAGTCAAACCAAAACTAAGGCCACAAAAGAGAAGAATCTGACTTGGATTTTGAAAGACTCCTCATTTCTGCGATCTTGAGAGAAGCTCCAGGTCACGTCATCTATTGCTTCAGTGAATGCAGAAATCTGCAAGTGTACCTGGTCCTTTCACAAACTTAAGGCCTACCTAGAAGGAAAACTCCAGAAATACCAGTATAAGTAAAGTTGGGCATTTTCTCCCCTTCTGTCTGTTTCGATGGCCTGGGTTTGAATCAATTGGGAAACAATTAATGGATCGTTCTCCCTCTCTTCACCGTCACCATAAAGGACAGCAGGTGCCAACAAGTGGGAAGCAAAACAAGAAGTCACAAGCAGGTTCTCGACAAATTCTTGTGAACTCAATGCCTTTGGTTTTTTTGCTTTTGGATTTAGACTTTTAGCATTTACCAGAGAAACTAAAACTAATACATCACTCATTATACTTATTAAAAACACTTATTAACTATGTGCATAGCATCTATTGTGTGTTGCAGAACATTATACAAGCATCTTAAGGAGAAACTTACATAATAGGTGATGACATTTTAAAAACTTTTAGTTCTTGATCACTGTAGACTGCTCATATTTAAAACCCAAGCTGAGCCAGACTACAAAGCCAGACTGCACATGTGAGTACGTGCATGAATGTGCACACATGACGTGAAGAAGCATGCTGACCTCTCAGATGCATAGATTTGTTTAATATTTTTGCATTAAGCTTACCATCAACATTACTTCACTTCAGTTTATAAACAGGGAACAAGTGTGTTTTAAGGTGTTGGAAATACTACAAATTTAACCATAATCTATCTAAGCCAGTGCTATGCTTACTTGTGTTTAGTCAGTAAATGTTGTTTCCCATGTGTAAAACATTTGGTAATAAAGAGGAGGTACAAAGAGTTAGTATAGCAAAGCAATAAAGAGCAGAGTTTTTCAGTCTTAGGTTGCCTGGCTTCACCCCTTGGCTCTCCTATGAACTGGGCTAATTACCTAAAATCTGTGGGCTTCAGTTTCTTTATCTATGAGGTGTAGACTATCTGATAATGTTGCTGTAACCAGCAATTGGGTTTTCCGCAAGCAACTTGACCATGTCTGGCAGAGTACCAGGTCTATTACTGAAAATATCTTGAAGTCTGATGGTGGACAGAATATCGAGGTAAAGTATAAGATTTCAAGAGCAGTCCAGTTTTAATGATAACATTCTACTTGATTGTCCTGTTTCAGAGGAATGAATTTTTCAGAGGAATAATAGTTAAATAGGTGACCCTCTTTTGTCTGATCACTACCCTGTTGGACAGAGATAAACCCAGAACTCCACACTTACTTATCGGGTCTAAACTGAACGTCATTCAAAGCTGCTACTTTCTTGTTTGTTCTGTACATTATTATGTGCAAAACACACAGATGCAGTCTATTTAAAATATCCCCTATTACACAATCCATGATAAATATATACTTAACATAGATATCTTATAAATACTTGGGAAGACAAAACACAGGATAATTGCTCACTTTATACTCAAATTTTGGAGAGTAGTATTTGATTTTTTGCCCATACACACATATATATGTACACACACATATGAGTCTCTGAATATAGAATTTTTCTAACAACTAAGAGTATAAACTTTTTGCACATTTCCATTCTTGTTTTTTTAACAAATGAAACAAATACAAAAACTATAAAATGTGTCTGATAAAGTGGACAATCACTTTTTGTTTTTTGACTTGGGGTCTCATTCTGTCACCCAGGCTGGAGAGCAGCTGCATGATCACAGCTCACCACAGTTTCAACCTCAGCCTTTTGTCACCTCAGCCTCCAAAAGTAGCTGGGACTACAGGCATACACCCAGCTGATTTTTTTTTTGTAGAGGTGAGGTCTTGCTATGTTGCCCAGGCTGGTCTCAAACTCCTGAGTTCAAGCAATCCTCTCACCTAGGCCTTCTAAAATGCTAGGATTACAGGTGTAAGCCACCACACCCTGCTGACAATCACTTTTAAATTACAGTTTTCAGGAACTCTAGCTTATACTAACATTATAACTTTTTCCTAAAACTTCATTCTACTTTATTAAAAATAAATAATTATATTTTTAAAATTATTTCAGAAGACAAATGTACACTTAAATATTTGATATAAAGTACAAACTTGCTAATTTTTTTACATGAAAGTAAGTCTTTACTTCTTTAGTATAAATATTCAAGTACTAATTTAGAAATCATAGTTGTTCCCTTCAAGCAAAATTTCCTTAAGAATAATTAAATTTATTTGGATGGACATGGAGGTGACTCTAAATAAGTATGTCAGTAAAAAATTCAATAAAATGGCTAGAAAGACAGCAATATGGTACATTCAGGTGAAAACTCAAAACCAATCAAACTGCTGCCTAGGCAAAGGGTCGGTCAGTGTCCTAGCACTGCTTACAAAGATTGTTTAGATAGTTTAAAAAAAGAAAGCTGGAAACTTTCTCAGAATTTAATTTTTGTTCTCTCAGAATCACAAGTTTCTCAGAAGTCAGTGAACTTCTGCAATCAGCATTGTGTTTTCCAGACATGCCAGTACTAATTAATCTTTAGGAATCAAAGCTTCTATTAACATAATTTTCATAACAAAACACACACACACCAGAAACAACACACTCACCGCCTCCACTGATTACATCAGGCTTGCTCTTCATCATTTTGCAGAATTGTCTTCGGCAGCTTTCTATCCATTCAGCTTGTTTATCAGACATTTTGAAGTGTGATAAAAGCTTTCCAATATCACTGTCTGATCGAAAAGATAACATGTTATATCATTATAAGATGCTAGATACACTGAAAATATGTATTTACATTAAGTATATAAACAGTTGTAAAATCCAAAATAGTAAAGTATATGGCTTTCAAAGGAAGACAGATATTTTTCTGTAAGAACATCTTATGCCATCAATTGTTATTTGCCTTATTTATTAAAAACACATAAAACAGATTATTGATTTATTAGAAACTCATAGAATAGATTACTGGCTGGTAACCATAACTCTTGAATAGTCTTTTTCTTATACTAACATGGCTCATTACTGAGTATCTGTTTTTTAACAGACAATGTGAACCTTAAGATTTTGTTTCATAAGATTAACACGAACATTATGCTCATTCTTCAGGTACATTCAGGTGCAATTTAACTTATTTCTTTAAAAGCAAAAAGAATGTGTAAGTGTAGGAAATCTTTAGTCAATCATTAAGTTCCTCTTCTTGAAAAAAATTATACTGACGAAGGGGTTACAATATGCTATTCGGGCATATTTACTTTATACACGGTGCAAAAACAGCAGATGCATGATCACTTTGACCCTAATGCTGGTCAGAAGATGAAATTCTCATGTGAAAGACATTCTCCCTATACTGGAAGAAAAGACAACATCCTTATTTTCAGGGATGAGAAGTTGAACCACAGAATAGTGTACAAACCTTATTAGAATAACTCTAATCTTTTAATCTTCCCCATATAATCTAGTCACATTTCCACAGTTTATTATTATTGTTAAATTCAGTATATAGGCCAGGTGCGGTGGCTCAAGCCTATAATCTCAGCTCTTTGGTAGGCAGAGGCAAGAGGATTGCCTGAGCTCAGGGGTTCAAGACCAGTCTGAGCAACATGGTAAGATCGCGTCTCTACAACAAATGAAAAAATTAGCCGGGCGTGGTGGCACATGCCTATGGTTCCAGCTACTTGGAAGGCTGAGCAGAAGGATCACCTGAGCCCAGCAGTGGTGGCCATGAGCATACCGCTGCACTCCAGCCTGGGAGACAGAGTGAGACTCCAACTCAAATAAATAAATAAATAAATAAATTCAGTATATAAGTAACTGACTCTAATTGCTCCTTTGAGGTTTTCATTTCTGTAAGAGGACTCTAGCGCCACATAAAACTTGTAGTATGCTTTTCTCCTGTTAATCTATGCTAAGTCAATTTAATTCTCCGAACCCACCAGGGTCTTAGGGGAATGGAGATGGAGTTTCTCCAGCCTACAATGAAAATAATGAATAGGGCTAAAAACAGTATTATGACTAAAATACATTAGGTTGGTGCAAAAGTAACTGTAGTTTTGGATCATAAACTTTAAATCATTATATCTAGGTTCAAACACATCTTTATTAACCAAAATAGGAACCATTATAATCAACACAATTTTGCTAATGAGAAATAAGTTTGCTTGTTTCTGTAGCATAAAAATTCATGCTTCGGGATTCAATGAACTCTTGGAAAGCATTTTCTGGATCCTGCTGGTTGTAGACACACTGTCCCTGCAAAACGTTGTTGAGATGCTTGAAGAAGTGGTAGCTGGTGAGAGGTCAGGAGAATATGGTGGATGAGGCCAAACTTCATAGCCCAGTTCGTTCAACTTTCGAAGCATTGAGCGCTGAGCGTTGTCATGGAGAAGAACTGAGCCCTTTCTGTTGACCAATGCAGGCTGTCGGCATTGCAGTTTTTGGTGCATCTCATCAATTTGCTGAGCACACCTCTCAGATGTAATGGTTTTCCCAGAATTCAATGGATCAGATCGGCAGCAGATCACCAAACAGTGACCATGACCTTTTGTTACTGCAAGTGTGGTTTTGGGAAGCGCTTTGGAGCGTCTTCTCGGTCCAGCCACTGAGCTGATCATTGCTGGTTTTCAGACACAATCCGCTTTTTGTTGCACATCACAACCTGATTGAGAAATGGTTCGTTGGTGCTGCATAGAATTATGGACTATAACACTTTGAAACGACGTTTCTTCCTGTCTTTGGTCAGCTCATGAGGCACCCACTTATCAAGTTTTCACCTTCCCAATATGCTTCAAATGCCGAACTACTGGAGGATGATCAACACTGAGTCCTTCAGCAACGTCTCGTGTAGTTGCAGAGGATCAGCTTCAATGATTGCTCTCAATTGGTTGTTGTCAATTTCCGATGGTGGGCCACTAGGCTCCTCATCTTCATGGCTCTCATCTCCTTTGCAAAACTCCTTAAACCACCACTACACTGTATGTCTGTTAGAAGTCCCTAGGCCAAATGCGTCGTTGATGTTACAAGTTATCTCCTCCACTGCTTAATGAAAAATTTTCAACTCAAATAAGAAAATCATTCAAATTTGGTTTTTGTCTAACATTATTTCCATAGTCTAAAATAAATATAAAAGAAACAGCAAGTAATAAGTCATTAGCACAAAAATATAAAGTGAAAAATGCTCATTAAAATGATGTATAACATGAACACATTTAAGAATGGATTCCAATATCAAATGACAAATATCAACAATGCAAAAACTGAAATTACTTTTACAAAAACCTTAACTTTTCTTCTTTCTAAGTAATCTCAGAATACATAGCAGAGTCTGTTAATTATGTAGCTTTAAAGGTACTCAGCTCCATGAGATTTTTTACTTAAAAAATCAATGACTAATGTATTAAGAGTTAGGAGTTATTTAAAACGGATATATACATATGTACCATACAGACACATATGTATTTAAAAATTCAAAGGAGAAAAAACAAAGATGTTCTCTTATTTTAAAGAAGAATATGGGGGAATCAGTAGCCACATGAATTCATACCTTTTATTAAATGAATTCATACCACGTTTCTTGGAAGACATTTTTGGGGTCAAAAAAACCCAAGCTTTTGAAATGATTGAGTCAAAGGCTCGATCAGTTCTGCCATAAACCCGATTGGTTCTGGGAACACTAACACCACAAAATCATCCACCTAAGTTCTACGTTAGGCTTATGAATCCTAAAGGAAGCGACCATGGTCAACGATATACTAGAAGGGTTTCAACGAGCCACGTCTTACCTTTTTCTTAAAAAGAATAAAATCATAAAAAAGAAAGGAAGAATCCTTATACTAACAGGTTCTAAAAATCAAAGTTTTTCCAGCATAACACAATTATTTTGATTTAACCTTCCACCAAACCTTTGTAAAATTCCATTCATTAAACACATATGCAGATCCTCCTGTGTGGCTATGACAATGCCACTGCTCACATGACACCTACATGTCACATAAATATACATATATACATTCACACAAAGATTATAATAGCATTCTAATCAACATATACACTTCTTTGGTCAAAATTTCAGCGCTATTTAGCCTTGAAAAAACTGCTATGTATTGTCACATGGTCCTCATGGTTATCATATATAAAATGATACTACATATAAAAACATAGTTTATGTAAATTCCCTATTTGACATTTAGGTTACACAAAGCCTTTTTATATGAAAACTGGACACAAACAAACACATGAAACACACAAATACATATACCAAGCATACATGTACTCACAAAAATAGACCTACAAACCAAATTATTTTATTGGAAGACTACTAGGTAGACTGTGGGAGATGGCAGCGGAGCTAGTCAGACTACATGAGTACCAGTGTGAGTGAGTTAGTGTATAGGACATTTTGCATGCATGTCTAAGAAAGTGGGCTTGTGAATGGCTGACTGAGTGGGGACTCGGGAGCAAGTGTCCGGGGCTCTCACGACGAGGTGGCTGGTGCCACAGTTGCTCTGCTTGGTCCCCAACAGTTCCTGGGGCACATAAAACAAGTGCCACTTTTTTAAAACCAACAAACCCCTCCCAGGAAGAAGTTGCCAAGGGACTGCCAGCTCTAGGCTCCGCCTCACCACTGCAGGACCTGGTCGGACACTGGCATCAAGGGCATGGAGGAAGCACAGCAAGGGAGGCCAGAGGCACCACCCTGGAGAAGGCGAAAGAGGCCCCCTGAAACCATCTTGAAAACTGAGCAGGAAAGTGCTCTGGCTTACTCACCACCGACCGACAGACCTGATCTCTGTGACCAGAGGATGAACTGCTCAGGGGGTGATCACGACCCAGTGGGAAGATCCTGAAAGCCTAACTCCAGAGGGACAGAGTAAGTGATGAGTCTCAGGCGCCCAGCCCTCCACACTGATCCAGCTGCAGGACAAAGGGTGTGATCAAAAGAGGACAAGGAAGACCCCTAAAGAGAGCAGTGGTGAGACTGGGGCTGACCAAACCCTCTCCTTCCCAGCAATCCTCTGAACATCAGACCGGCACAGCTGGTGGACAACAGAGAGGGACGAACCCAGGCAGAGCTGGGTGTCAGCCGTGACAGGCGGACTCTAATCCAGAACAAGCCTAGGGAAGAGACAATCCCACACCCCCCACTGGAGAGAATTCCCACGGCCATAAGAGAGTGAAAGTGGGGACTGAAGCCACACCATCCCCACAGCCTCCTCCTCCTTCCCCAGCCGGACACGGGCAACTGTGAATAAGGCCACGGCCCCCCAGAAGGCAGGAGAGGTGCTTGCCTGTGAGCAGTTGAGAGGAACGATTACAGAACCTGCCACAAGAGGGCAGGTTGGTTTTTGTTTTTTGCTTTTTTGTTTATTTGCTTGATTTTAACTATTTTTAGTTTTTCCTTTATGCATGAATGTGTATGTAAGGTTTGATCTGGATTCCCCACACTTTTTTTCCCTTATGTCTCCTTTTTTCCTTTTTGTGTTTTTCTGTGTTCTGATTATAGGTGTATGTGATTAAGTGTTCATCTGTAAGGTTTTTATTTTTTTCTTCTTCTCTTTTTTTAGTTTAATGAGTGTGAATGTATGCATGAGGGTTTGATATTAATGCTTTTTAAAAAAATCTCATTTCTTTTTATCTTCTCCTTGTGTTTTGAGTTGGGTATACACATGTGTGTTCGCTTTTCCTGGTTTTGTCTGTTTCTTTTGTTTTGCTTTTTTTCCCCCAGTTAGTTTTC